TACATGTTAAAAAAGTCCTTCAAAATTTTTATTTTATAGCAGTTTCTCCCTTCTTTATTATAATGTACTGCATTCACTTTAGTGGAAAACATCAATCATTTTTCATGGGTGGTTGCCCATTAAAATGATGATGGATATGTTGGGTTCTGTCCCTTACTAACTGGCCACTCTTATTGAAAACCTGGCCAAATCCATAATGGGATGGAAAAAGGCCCTCTTAATACCTACAGATAGAAAAAAGTCACCTTAGCATTAACCACTACCTCTGTACAGTCAAGATTAAAAGTACTACAGTATTTACATGCAGGTGGATAATGTGGTATCTCAGATAATTGGAATATTACTGTATATATATATAAATTTCTTCAAATAAAGACACAGAGAAAGAGAGAAACAGTAGTAGTTGGATAAACTTTGATGATGATAAGAAATACAGTTTTTATCTAGTATTTATTAAGCATTAAAGAGACAGTGTGTGATAATTTTTGAGGCATGTAGAACTCATTTCAACTATAAGAGAATTAAGACATTTCTCTGACAGAGTAGAATCTATGTGTATTGGTAAAATTATAACACCATTGTAGACATCAAAAATGATAGATAGATATTTTTGGGATAGGATAAGTAATGATCATAGGTCTATTTTATTCATTTTAGGTAATTGCAAAATAATTTTTGTTTAGGGAACAAATACATATAAAGTAGACATTACATTACTAGTAATGTCTCTATGGTTATATTAAATATCAATACTAACCGTATCCAATTGTTTTCAGATTTTATAAGTTAAGAAAAAAAACTAATTACACATTACTTAGAAAGGAATGAAAATTTTTAATAAAAATGACATAAAAAATTTATTGAATACAATCGTACCCAGCAAAAATAAACAAATAACGTGACCACCACCTTATTGCTTGCTGAGGGAGTTTTATTACACAAAATTTACATTCAACAAATATTTAGGAGGAATTATGAAGGAAATTGCAGGCGTTAAAGGTTCAAAGGTGATTTTGAAAAGAGCTCCCAATTTATATAAAATTCTTAGAAACGATAAAGGGGTTATTAAAAAAGTAGACAAGGCAGGTGTTTACAAAATTCCATACGAGAACCAGCAATTAGGAATAAAAAAAGATTACGTAGGAGTTACTACCAGAAACCTCGGGGTAAGGATTAGGGAACATAAGTATGATGCTAGAAAAGGGTCTAATACAACAATATTGGCCCAGATGGCGCAGGCCCAAGGATCCCTGATTGGATGGGAGGAAGCGGAAGTCGTGAGACAGGTGCACTCACCAACTTTGGCGAGGACGGCCGAAAAAATGGAGATATACAAGAGCAAACTTAAAGACGGATGCATTAATGCTAGGGATGCGGAAGGTCTTCCCTCGGCTTGGAAATTTGCCGTTAAGAAGCTTACAAGTAGCGCATCAACTGAAATATGATATTTGTTTGATTTAAAGGAAACTTATTATTAATGTTTGGTCGTCGTAGTATATTATTTATTATTTAGTATCGTTTACAATTTATTATTTATTTTTATTAATTGATATATTATCAGTTTATGGATATTTTTGAACATATTGTTCCATTTATGTTGTATTCCATTTTAGTATATTCTATCCTGATGATGATCCATTAAGTGGATCGAAAGCGTTCGATTTTAATAAAACTCCCTCAGCAAGCAATAAGGTGGTGGTCACGTTATAAAAAATTTACTTTGTTTATTTTTAAAAAATAAAGCATAATTAGTTCTTAGATTTTCATTGTGATTGTTTGTAATTAATTCTGAAAAAAACTATACAATTCAGTATTGGAATTTTTATAATTACTCTGTAAAACATATTTCTGTTTAATGTTATTTATTAGAAGATTGAATAAGTAGTATTCCAACACATGATTGAATAATATGAAAGAAATTAAAATTTCATATTTAACATTTTCCAGTGATGATATCAAACAGTAAAACATCACTTTAAACAATAAAATCATGAATATGATAATACAGTCGACCCCCCTATAATTACGGTCCCTATAATTACGATTCCTATAAAACTACAAAAAAATATACGTATTTTGGAAATGTTGAGTCGGATTAGTGTAGAATCGATTAATTTTATGGAAGAAAACCTTTCAATCAGCCGTAGTCCGTAAACTTGACACGTGTCGGGCTGTGATTGGAACGACTTGTAAGAAATCGGATTCCTAATAAATTGGAACGTATCTATATCTTATAGGGGGGTCGACTGTATATATCATTAATTCCTTCAATGGAATTTCAATTTTATTTATAGAATAAAAATATATATTATTGTGACCTGGGCTGCTAATCCTCGTTTTCTGACACCACTGTGACCTGTGCTGCTAATCCTCGTCCTCTGACACTACTGTGACCTCCATCAGGTTGATATGGTTATGTAGATCACACAAGCAGTTGCATGTGTGGGCGATTTGGCAGATGAAGTAAGAGACAGTGCGCCGGAAGTGACTCATGCAGAGACTGGGTTAACGTAACAACCGTTTAATTGGAAACGATAGGCAATACATGACATACAAGTTATCAAATAAAATAAACAAACACCTTTCTCTATTCCAGCACAACGTTTAATATATTAAAAACGTTTTCGACCATTTTAAGCGATCTTCTTCAGTTCAAATTCGAACCATATAACGAACAAAGTATTCAAAATAATACAAAAATTCAAAGTGCTTATTCACAACTTAATGTTAAAGTGCATGCTCATACTCATAAAATGAATAGATTAAACCAAAATAATTAAAAATAAACCAAAAATTATATATCAAAAAATATTATAAAAACAATTAATAACACTGCCTACGTGGTTGAACAGTTAATCTGTATTATTATAAAAGGACTTCCAGGCTGTTGTTAAACCTTCAGCATCCCTGTGATTGATGCACTGCGTGGTCATATGCGCCTTGTGTATCTCAACTTTTTCCAGGTGTTTCACTGCTTGCATTGATCTTATAAGCCTAATAATCACTGCCTGATCCCAGTATACTGCAATTCCTTGCTGCTTCGCAAATAGAATTTGTTGTGCTTGAATAGAAAAAGGTGTTTGTTTATTTTATTTAATTAATTCCAGTAAGCATTTATTTATACAATTTATCGATAATGAGTATAATAGATGGGTTTAAATTATCATTCCTCAGTTCTCGAGAGAGAAAGTTTACTGTGGTTCACGAGTTGATAAATACCTGGAGTAGAGGCTGTCCACAAGGGTTGAATTGGATGTCGTTAAGGTGGTGATCATTTTTTTTTCTGATCGTCGAGAAAGTTTATCCAAGAAGTTGTCTTTATGGCACAATGTTCTGCAGTATCCAAGGTGAGTAGGTGATATCTTGATGGGCACTTTGTTGGAGGAATTTTGGGATGATAGTCCTCCTCAAAGAACAGGTGACGACTGCCTCAATTTTTTCAGTTCCTTGTTATCTTCAACCGATGAACTTAAGACAATAGGTCAGAAGGTTATGAGAAAGCGTCACTTTTGCTGCTGAGAACTCACCAAATGATTAGCTCCCAGGTGTGAAAGTTGACAGTTATCCGACAAAATGGTATTGTTAGGAAGTTATGTTATGATTTAAGTAAATAAACAGATTATGTAGTGAGTCTCACATTATCATTAGATGTAATGACACAATTTATTATTAGATTTTTCTCTTCATGCTTTTTATAATTTATCATTGATCAACTAAACATAATAATACAGAACTTGAGTAATTTTTTAAATTACTTTTAAGAAAGAAATATTGAAAGATAAGATTAACAAATTGTTTGTTTTTATTATATGTTGTTTATCATCTGAGATTTCATTATTACATTATCATCATATAAAATTTAGGAAACAAAAGTTGCATTTAATTTGATTCTCATCTGAAAATATTAATATATTTAGTAATTTAATAATTCTTTAAAAATTAAATTAAATGATATATGGATTGTTTCTGAAAGAAAGTGATTCAGAGTAAGGAACTTTACATCATTACAGAGAAAGAAATCAAAAGATTGTTTAAAAATTTTACTTAAAATTATTGATATGTTTGATATTCATATGAAATAGTATTGGATATGGGTGTAGTTAATTATATGAAGAAAATATAATCACCATAATTATCACTAGAATCTAAAATCTTTTAATTAAATTCTAGCAATATCAATAATTATTAAAAAATGTATTATCCACTTATGATTTTTAACAAGTTTTTAAATTTTTTCTGTATGTTAAATGATAAAAGTTTAAATTTGAAATTTTGTGGTTTTTTGATAATATATAAATTGAAATAATATACATATTGGGATAAAAGAAATAATAATGTTGAAAGCTTTAATTTAAGATAGCAGTCTGAGAAATTGGATAGAAGATGATAAAATGATTAAAATACACTATGAATTATGATATTTGAGGTAGGTGTGAATTATTTAAAATTTCTGAGTATATACAGTATTTGAATTAATCCAAATGCAATGTATATATATTGTATATATTCACTATAATCTTGTTAGCAACTCTTCTTATTATTACATTTTTATTTGATTTGTGGAACTTAATCATTTTAAAAAAAAATAATGGAATAACAAATTGTCATATTCTAAAAAATGCATTTTTGATGGATTCAAAAAAGTGCTAATATATTACATGAAAAATTTTAGGAAAACATGCTTTAATTTTATTATTCAAGAAAATAATAGAATATTTATACCAACTTCTAAAAAGAAATTAAAGTTAAAACATACTATCCTATCAGATTTATAGCATTTTATAAATCAAGATTTATGGTTATTTAGGTTCACTATAACTGGTTTCCATTGTACATAAATTATAGGCAGAAAATTTTAATTAGAAAATAAATGAAATATATATATTTATATAATCTTAAATAAATAATGGTAAAAGTAGCCTAAAATCTATCAACCAAACATAATCAGAACATACATATTTGTGATGTTATTTTTTCCTTCCTGATTATTCCACATAAAGGTCATAAAAAGCGTTTAGGTTTCCGTCGTAAGCGATCATCAACTTTCAGTGTTCATCGTAGTGAAGAAGTGGCTCCCCAAGAATGTCGCCATCTTGTTAAACAAGCCAGTAGCATATCATCTGATGGAGAGGGGAGCTTAAGTGGGGACAGTTCGACGTAAGTCTTGCCCCTGCCTCTCCAATTATCAAGAGGCAATTTTAATGTGCAGGCTTATGATCCATTCTTGGAATCCATTTTAGAAATTATAAAAATGCCAGCCTTCAATTTTTTTTATTTTTATATATTATTATTATTATTAAATATTTAATCAATTTAAAATGCATTGTTGTAATAAAAAAATTTAAGACAATTTATAAATATCAACAATTGAATGCTGGTAATTGTAATTTACCTTGAAATTTCATGCAGTTAATGGGGATTATATTATGTGGCCTAATATGGGACATGATATGCTCCACTGATTGTATAACATAACTGTTGTAATTAATTGAAGAAATTATTTTTTTATCAGTTGAGCAATAAATCAATCATTCTCAATAATATCCCATTATGGTCACATTTCTTGTATGTTGAATAGATGTTTTTCTTTATATTCATGTTTCCATTCTTATTAGTTTATTTTTCTCCCTTGATACCTTTAACGTATTCCTGTATCCCTTTATATTTCTATCTATTGTAAACTTTCCTGAAACTTTTTTAGTAATGGCTGTTTGCTTCTATTACTGCTGCATCTTCCATTTTCACCTCAAATTTTTCTCTGCATGTAGCATCACTTTGATATCTAATCTTCATGCATATTTTAAAAAGTTAATCTTGTTTTATTCTTTTGTATTCATGTACTAGCCTTCTGCCAGGTTGCAAATTGGATTCTTGTTTGCAACATAAATATTTCATTACATGCTGCTTTCCCAATCTCTATTGTTATTGCCTTATGCACAAGTGTCAACTATTGTCTCTTCCTAACCCCATAAAGACCAATGCTGCAGTTGTCAATGCAGATGTTAAGCAGTGCTTGGTTTCTATTTCCTTTGTTCTTGCAGAGGGCTGGGATAAGAAAGCTAGTGATAGGCGCATTCAGCGTAGCGAAGAGGTTTATCCCCCTTCCCAAAATACACATTTAATCAAACAGACCAGCAAGGAATCCACGGATGGTAGCATGAACAGTATTAGCAGTGAATCATCTCTGTAAGTAGGGGTATAACTGGGTGGGCTCTTCTATATAGCTTTCTAATCTCTTTCACTGGCATAACATTCACATGAAAGTTACATGTCAATCAACTTGAAATGATTTATTAGTTTTTTTTTATTCACAAATAATGTTTCATGGTCATTACATGACCATAATAGAGATAATTGTAATTGTTTTCTTGTATGTGAAATATACACTTGTGCCAGGTAGAAAGAGATGAGAATTTTACATTTTTCTCCGTTTTGTAGAATTTCAAATACTTTGTTATTTTTAATTGCATGGAAATGTAATAGCTTTTGCTAAGTCCTTTTGTATTGCATGTTAAAGTAAAAACTGCCAATACCATAAATGCATGAAACTTCCTTGTTCATATTTAAATGCATGATGTGCTTATATAAAATTTGTTTACCCTCTTATGCATATTTTCCCTTTCCTTTTGAATGGCATTTCCAAATTTATCTTGTCAGGTATATACCTGAATTTCTTTAGCTTAAGTCAAAAAATATAATTTAAAAAAAAAAAAACAAATATACTGTATTATCTCATTTTAAAGTAATAGCATTGTGAATGTTTGTGATCACTTTTCCAGAGTTAATCATGCAGAGTGATGTGTTCTGTGTGCAGTGTATTTATATCTTGCCAACTGTCAAATAAACACTTTATTTGCTTTATTGTAATTATGTAAAGCAAAAGCACAGTATGATCCAGCATGTCTTTTTATAACTTGAATAATTGTATATTTCTTGAAAAGCATACATGTATATGGATACATTTTCTCTTGGTGGAAAAACTGCACCCGACTGACCCATGCCATTTTCTTGAATGAATGTGTGTAAAGCATGATAATATCTGATTCCATGATATCTGAGAGTGCAATTAATATTTTGTATGTAATACATGCTGAAGTAATTTCCATTATACATGTATGCATGCTTTTGTTGTTCATTATGTTTTTTAACTGCCTTCATTTTAAATTCTATTCAGATGTTGTCACTTAAAAATAATAAAAATAAATATAAAAGAAGGTGTAGAATTTGGTCTTAAAATCATGAAAGAAAAATGCCTGTTTTCAAAATTTTGTTTATAAATTCTTTCAAATATATAAAAATATATGAAAAGGTTATGAATGAAATTTTTAAGATTTAATATTAAATGTTAAAAAATATAATTATTTTTAATAAAATGATGGCAGTCTGTTTGATTCTATATTTTTATTTTTTATTTTATTTGCTTTAAAAGTGTGTTAAGGCTTATTCATTAGCAGAATAGACTTGTAATGAACAATTTTTGTGTATTTCATAGTCTTGCTATGAAATTTATGTTACAAGTTTATAATTAATTGCTGTGCATAAGTCTTCTTTATATGTGATTTTTATTTTTAACTGGAATTATAATTTTACTATATAAATAAAATATTTTAGTCCATATTATAATTAAGTTGAACATAAAGAATTCTGTCTGCAGTTTTGCCATCAATTATGTTCATTTTAATAAATGAAACAAATACATATACACAGGGAAAAGATGGAAAAAACATTTATTATTTACTATTTTTACAAATAATAATTAAATAAACTAAGAATCTATTAAAAAATCAAACAATTATTATCATGTTTCAGTGTCTCATTAATATTTAAGAAATTTATAAATAATTTAATTTTCTGTTTATCAACTCTAATATATCAGAGGTTATTCCAAACTTATTATTTTTGCAATATAAATGATCTTAATCGTTTAACATTTTCAATCATTTTTCAGTTTAGTATATATGTTAAGTAACAAGCATAAATGCAAATTAAATTAATGAGTGTTTTTATGAATAAGAATATATATTTTTGATTACAGATTCAAACTTTTAATAAATAATGTATGCATTATGATATATATAATAAAATTACATGGTTATATATATATTTGTTTTATAATTGTCCCTTATAAAATGCAAACTGCCATTTGCTGTTTCACTATATGTAATGTCTCATTTTAACTATTCACAAAATTTTATTTATATCTAGAAAGATTATTTATTTTATTAAAATAAAACAGTTATTCAATCAATTATAATTTTTGGTGATATTACAAAATGAAATTAGTTACATTTTATCCAGCATTTTTCATATAAATTTTTAATTTATTACATTTTAAACCTTTCACTAATGTAATTAAAATTCTAAATCAGCTAAATAATTAATTCTTATGCAGAATTATTGTACAGAATATAAATTAATAGAGTATAAATTATATTTTATATAAATTTTACATGGTTATATGTAATTCAGATTTTTAAATAGTAATAAAAAAATTATAATGCATAAACTCTAATTTCTTATAACACAACTGAACTTGATTGCCCATAAGCTTGAGAATCAATACTTGATTGAAGTTTGTGATTATCAATAAAGCAGAATTTGGATTTTATTAATAAAATTATTTATGCTATGTATCTTATAAACATTTACTGTATAGATTTATTACTCTAGGAGTATTCTTACATATTATAATATAGTAGTGCCTCATACTTCAAATTTAATTCATTTGTGGAAGCTGTTCAAACCCTGAATCATTCATAGTCTGAATTAATTTCCCCATTAAAAAATAATGGAAAATGAGGTCAAAGTCTACCTAGGTAGTCCCAATGGCTGCACTTCTGACTGTTTGTGCTCCCAACAGACTCCTCCCAGAGGGAACTGCTGGCAGGCCGCTGAGTGTTTAACATCACTAATAATTGATTCATGGTAGTTCTTGAACAAAAGAGAAAAAAACGTCTACTAAAAATATAGTTAATCTAACTTAACCTAACCAAAGCACCACCATTGGGACTACTTAACTGAAAATGAATTAACCCATTCCCAGATACTAAACATTACTAATTTTGATAAACTTAAACAGCAAATATATATAATTTAAGGTAAAAATAACACAATTAAATGCTCTAATAATAAATTAAAACATGAAAACAATAAATAAAATGCATAAATACTGTATAATAAAATAAGAATTGCATTTATTGTATCTTAGTAAGAAGTGATGATTTCCATATGGCTGGTGGAGAGGTAGAGTAAGGTTACTGTTTGGAAGTGGAGTCACTTCCCATAAACACACCAAATAACTGTACTTATGGTATTCTCTCTCTATTTTGTCTCTTAGCGCTGCTAGTTGAGGGTTTGGTTTATACCTCTAGCCACATTTTCCGCTTTTATTGTTTCCTTGTTAAGAATTGTGCACACTGTTGATTTTGGCATCTTAAACATGGCCACCAGATTCACCAGACGTATTCCACTTTCATGTTTCACAATAAATTCCCTTTTCATCTCAATTGCCAGTAACACAACCTTTCTCTTAGACTTCTTTGCTTCCATGCTCTTCTTTGTTATCCATGGTTAATAGGTAAGATTATATATATATAACCAAACTCACCAAAAATAAAGTACAAAATAGCAATGAAAACACGAATGCAACACGAGATGCTTTTACAGCAACAGTAAGAGATGACTTCAGCACACAACAGATGGCATTTATGCAGTGAATGCATTTTTTCATTGTGTGTGCAGTTTAAATGAGAAGCATTGAATTCTAGATTGAATCTCTCTCAAATTTAGCTTTTAAACTCTGAAATGTTCAGAGTTAACATCATTCAAAGTATAAGGTATTATTAGATTTATCTCAAATTTTTTAATAAATTCAAATATGAAACTTTTTGTATGATAAATCATTTAAATTCTGTATAATAATTATTGATACTAACCTGATACTTAAAATTTACTCTTATTATCTAAATGATTTCATGATTCATACATAAAAAAGTATACAAAGATTTTTTTCTTTTATAACCTGTATTCCTAATGAAAATAAAGAATTTCTTTTATGGACTTGAAAGAAATTATTCAGTGCTACTATATTTAATTTTTATAGGAACCATCATGCACAGAATATGATGATACAGTATGACGATTTTAAACCAAATTTAAAGTGAATGTTTTAAATTTAGAACTGAAACAGTATCAAAAAAATATCTAAAATTCATTTTGCTTAAAAATAAACTATTTTAAATTGAATTTATGCAAGTTACTTCTGCACAGATTTAATATAGATGATGATATACAGATTATTCAAGGTCTGTACAATATAAATTGCATAGTATTTAAGATCATGAAGAGTAACAAGCTTTATTTTAGTAAGAGACAGCTTTGTTTTTTTGTCAATATAATAAAATTTCTGCCATTGCATAAACATTTGTGTAAGTTTAAATTTTCTGCTCCACTACCACAATTTTCTCTAAATAATCTGTGGATTAACTGTTTTAAAAGGCAATGTGAAAGCTTGATTTTTTACTATTATTAAATTACAGTGGTGCCTTGAATAATGGACGCTGTGAACAACAGACTTTCTGTTTGGCTGTTACGTGACTCGAGCAATGGACTGGCTGCGAACAATGGACTTTCCATTCGGCAGTTACGTGAGGTGAACAATTGGACTTTCTGTAAACAAGTGTGAATGATGTTTTCACTCTTTTGCTGTTGCCAATGACAATCTGCTATTTTTATAATATATTAGTATTATTAAAATATATTATTAGTATATCTGAAGTACAGAGCTCCCGTTGGGATTTGGCTTGCTCCCTTGTTTATTACGTACATCACCTTAGTGCAGGATATTTACATTTATTCAAGTGTTGTGCAAATTATGGCTTATAAAAAAACAGAAAAGTGATTTCAATTGAAACAAAGAAGGAAATCATCAGAAGGAGTGAAAGTTGACAAAAACTTCCTTGTCAAATGGAGTGAGGTTCAGGAGTTTACCAACATTCATTATCCAAACACAGTTGAGGCCAACAGGATCAATGATCTCTACAATGATGCCCTTGCCCGTCATTTCCGACAGGTGTTAAAGAAGAGAGAGAAACAGACCACCGTGGACATGTTTTTCAAGAAGCCAGCTGCCAAAAAACAAAGGATGGAACAAGAGGAGTTGACCATGCAA